TAGGTACAACCCAGTGCCCATTACTCTCTGGGTTGAAACTCATCCACCTGCCCTCTATGGCACGCATATCCAGCTTGGAACTGGCCATTGTGTGAACTTTCACACGACATCCCCACACAGGTTCATTGCTCAAGTTGGGTTTCTTCTTGAACAACATCTCATATGGTGTCTTGTTTTCTAGTGCACAGGTTGAGGTACAATTCTTTAACCAGGTGATGTGCATGATAGCTTCTCTCCACAGGTATTTGGCAAGTCAGTGTAGTAATGTGTGGGCCCATTCGACAACAGTTCTGTTCAACTGCTCAGCGACCCCATTGTGCTCTGGCATATTGTGTACAGTGAGTTTCCATTCCATCCCTTTACTCTTCAAATGATGTGTGAACTCTCCCCCACAATCTGAGCGGAAATGTTTTACCTTTGCATTGAGTTGGGTGTTAGCCCAAGCTTCGAACTTGGTGTAGGCATTGAAGGTCTGGTCTTTCGACTTGAGAAGGTAAAGGTGCATGAAATACATGTGGTCATCCGTAAAGGACACAAAGTACTCCTTCTGACCAGAAGTTCAAACAGGTGAAGGTCCCCAGAGGTCACTATGGACCTCATCACCAAAGTTTTTGTGTCTTGGTAGGTCTCAGACCTTCCTGATGGGCTTGCACATCGCCTTGGCATATTCACAGGACTCACAAGTGTCCATGCTCTTTTCTGCTGGATCAAGAGATATTCTGGTGATCTCACTGTTGCACAGCATGTGCGTGATGGTGCTTGGTGCTATATGTCCTAGTCTGGCATGTGCTTCATGCATTGTGAGTGCTTCTTTTACATTTTCTGCTCCTGCAAATGGCTTCTTTGGGCCCTTGATGAAGTACAAACTCTTATTGACCAGTATTTGTGCTAACAGCTTCTTTTACGCATCATAGATCTTGCACTTGTCTTTGTGGAAGAGTGCTGTGTATCTGGCGCTGGCTAGTTTGCTAATCGAGACTAATGTGAGTCCCATCTTTGGTGCGTACAGCACGTCTTTTAGCAATATGTGTGTCTGAGACTGACCGTTTGGCAAGGTAATTTGAATGTTTCTCTTGCCTGTGGCCTCAAAGGTGTGTCGGTCTGCTGTTGTAATAGGTTTTGGTGTGATACTAACAAAATCCTGGAATAGGTCTCTGTATGACGACATGTGGCGCGAGGCACCTGAGTCGAACAACTCAATATGTGTGTCCTGCCTTCTGTTTGAATTTGTGAGTGTGACGAAGGTAAGCGATGTTTTCTGTTCTGTTGCACTTGATTTGTGCGCTAACCACACACCCTCAGGTTCGTTGTCTTTATCCTTTTCCTTGGCACTAGCAGCTGTCTCAGCCCTTTTGTCCTTTCCTTTTCCATTAGACCACTCTTTGCCCTTTGCACCTGATGCTCCTCCTCTGGCTCCTCAGAAGTCATGCTGCATATGCCCATACTTGCCACAGTTGTGGCAATTGCCTTTAATTTGTCATGTGCACTGATTTGTATTAGCATTGTAGGCAGTGTCATTGTTCGAGGAGCCGGACTTCTTCAATTTAGAGACACAGTGGTTGTATTCATTGATGATTGTTGATATCAACATATCAGAGGCACCAAGCTTTACACTTGATACTTTGGCTGATGCTGTCAGCACTGATAAATGGGGGTCATAGAACACTGGTAGCGAGCTCATAATCATAGCTGTGAAGCTTTCATCAGAAGGTGCATGTCCCAACAAGGACAGTTGTTCTTTTATCATTCACATCTTGTCAAAGTGCTCTCTGGCATTTCCTTTTTCAGCACACTTTTGGTCCTGGAGCTTTCACAATAGCTCCATGGACACCACATGCAAGCACTGCTCAAACAGACTCGAGAGGTGCATGAATATTTCCTTTGCCATATCTAGATATTTGATTTGAATAAACAGTGAGTTGGGGATCATCCTCACTATCTGCTGTTTCATTATGGTCTGGCCCATGCACCATTCTTTCAATTCCGTTTTATATGTTCTAACCTCTTTTACTTCATCAGGAGTTGCTGGTGTCCATGACACTCCTTTGCCAGGCAGTACCTGGGGATCAATTGGCTTAGTCTTGATGCCATCCAAATGGCCAAGCAGCCCACCAGTGTCAATGGACCATTACAAATGTTCCTTGTACATCATCCAGTTCTTGCCATTGGCAGCGAGCTTTGGGATGTGGAGAAAATCCTCTCCGAGTTTTCTGTTTGAGGTAGACATTTCTTTTTGAGTCTTTTCTTCATGCACTTAATTTGAAATTTTCACTATAGGTGTGCAGGGCTCATAACCTGTAGCAGCTCAGCTACAGAGGTTGTTAGTTAGGTACATGTCATGTATACAAATATGCTACTAACCTCAGTGGATGTGCGAAGTCAACTGAGGGAAGCTACAAAGTGCGCGAAGGAATGAAAATATGTAGGTACTTAGGTAAGCTAACAGTACTGAGTGTGTCCATGATAGTGCTGCCATAGTCCGGTTCCGAACCTCAGTTCGAACCTGAACCTTTCCAAACCGGACACATGGTCTGGTCCAAGGTTTGGCCAAGACTCAGAACTGAACCTTTCTAAAGGTTCGGGGTTTGGGCTGGTAGTGAATAGGTTCGAACCCATTCGAACCTCTCAAATTTTGTCGGCTTCACACTTTTTTTAAAAATATGTAAGTATTTACTGGATGTCAATATATGCAAAGGCATGTGTCTGGAACCACAGGTTTGGGCCATCGGGTGAAATTGACGCGGTCCTTCGCGCCTGCCGCAGTCGTGATGCGCTGTGACACAGGACTGCACTGTCACAAATTCATGTTCAAACACTAACTTAGTAAGATCTTATGCCGCTATGAATTCCAAGATAAAATGTTTGTTTTCAGATAGCACTCAAGTATTGTCTCATGCTGCATCAAGGGTGTCAATGCCTCGTCAGCAACCATTGGTCAGTAGGCAATCATCTTTGTCCTCTGACCTTCGTGTCTGCACGCTCATGCTTCAGGGCTATCGCAAATGATCCTGAGGTCTTCCCAGAACCACACAAGTTTAATCCTTAGCGTTGGATTGACAATGCAGGTCGTGTGCTCAGTGATCTCAAGTCTTTCACTTTTGGTTTTGGCCGTCGGTAAGTGGTATCATTCATTTCTCGACCCATTCTCATTCCTTATTTAAACGTCCTCGGAACGAACCATGAAGCAGTTGAACACCCACGACTCAAGGAAAAAGATTCAAGTGATGCTACCAAGCCCAGTCATGGATCAAGAAAAATGGGGAGGTACGAATTTCTCAGCTTGACCGTGGTGGATCCGATACTTACTTCTGTACTCAGCAAGAAACGATGTTGAGATGGATGACTCTGATGAAGAACTCAGCCGTATATCAATTGAAGCATCCAAGGCGCCCATCTCTACCCAGTTACTAGGCGCCCAACCTACAATTGGATCCAAAGTCAGCGAGTGGTTCATCGACCGTTTGAAATACATTCCTCTTCAACTACTTCAGGTATGCGAGTTATAGTATTCAGCGCTTACTCTTCTGGGCATGCAGAATCGAAGCACTTGAGTGCTACCGATCATCCATCTCCTCTCTCTCGTTCTCATTCTCCTCCTTGTCTTCTTCCCTTCTCCTGCTCTCGTCCATCGTCCATATTTGTCTGGGCCATGTCAGCAGTTGCTGACGTGTGTGGGTGTTTGCGCATGGGGTTCGTGGTGTTGGGAACAGCATGGTGGAGCTCGGACATCAATTACATGCAATTCAGCATGTGGGCCACGGCTTGCATGGGCCTAAGCCCCGGCTTTGGGCCGATTACACAAGTTGAACCTGGTTCGAACGTGAACTGGACCTCCCGAACGCATTCAGTCCAGGGTTCGACCAAATGGCTGAACCAAACCATAGGTTCGGTTTGGCATTTGGAAAATTTGCCCCAAGAACCGGACCAAACCAGACTTTGGCAGCACTAGTCCATGATGAGGGTTTGATATACAACACTTCAAGCCGAGAAGCCTTCACCTGACATTTGCCAAACCTTGGTCAACATCTTGTTGCCAAACTGGTTCTTAATATCCTCATAATTTGATGAGTACATACCTTGAGTAAGTAATTCTGTGAGGTTGTGACACATTTGCCATTCATACATCAATAGCGTTGATTACATAATGTCACATTTTGTTTATAGGCATTGCAGGATACCGACTTATTCAAACCCAGACGGCAAGGCCCAATTGGTAAGGTGTACGACAGATCGGAACTTGCCAGCTGGGTTTGAATATGTCTGCAGTCGTTCAGTATATTAACTGCACCCTTCGCATGACATTTCCCTTTCTGACTCCCATATGTATTTTGACCTACAAATACTAAGGCCAATAGCAATATTACTTAAGTTTCTTACTTATTTGGTGTGCATGTGAATTAGCAGAGTAGTATGTGTGATTTGATGAGGCAGTCATCCAATGTGATGTGGCGTCTTGCTCATATTATAGTCCGCCGTGGCGGGGCGTCCCCCTCCTATGTACAATATTTATTTACTGTATAAAGTTTGGACCCATACAGTACTATGCATGCGTCGGACTTAACGATTGATTGATCATCATTGCGGTCGCGCTATAGGTCCACAACCTCCAACTATTGCAACAGGACAATGCTGCTGCCATGCCGTTGGTCCACAACACCCACCACAATTCTCACTGGCACATCATTGCGTGTCATCGGTACACAATCTCGAACCATTGTTGCAGGACAATACTTCTGCTACCCCGTTGGTCCACAACTTCAGTATGCCACCACAATTCTTACTGTCCACATCAGTAAGCATTAGCTAATCCAATAGTGATTCACTATAAAGTCTGACCTTGTGCATGAACAGGGCTTCTTTCCTCCCATCTCCATACAATATATCATCATACATATATTACCTATAACTTGACATTATATTGAATAGATAAACTACCAAGCAAAGTATGTAATGTTCAAGTCTGCCGGAATCCTGAAATTGATGTATCAAATACTAGATCACACCAAAACATGTCCAAACGAGCTGGACCTTGTCACAATGGTGATGAACCTACCTCGAAGCGCCTCCAGATTGATGAAGGTAAGTTATCCTGTTCTGTAGTCAAGATTGACATTCACATTCGATACAGGGAACCACACACTGCCATTGGCACTTTACAATCCCTATGCATGGGAAATCCTTCGCAAGTTCCTTACCAGTGACATGTCGATGGCTGAAATGGACACCGCTCTCGAATCACACCTTGGCAGTCGATTCTCTGCGGAAATTGGGTGGAACCCTGACGTCTGTTGTTCTCTGGTGACGGAGATGACTGGGAATCCTTAAAAAACTTGATTGAACTGAAGATCAAGTATGTACCCGAATCCGAATCTCCACAAGCCTCACCCATTCGACAGTCGCGTAAACCACGCAAAGTAAGTGAATCATAATTCAATTTGATAAATTAAACAGAAAAATGTAGAAAAATCTGTATATCATTGATGAGGCCGAGGAGGATGACAAGGATGAAGAAGAGGAGTATGGGGATGGGGATGGGGATAGACAGCCTGTATGGTCGCCGAAGGTTACGCGTTTGTTGGGAGCATCAGCAAAAGATAGGTTGGCTGCAACCTTCAATGACATGGTCACTCAATTCGAACGGAATCCGACCAGCTTGTCACACGGTTGCCAGAATCTTGCTGAAAGCAGAATGTATCTGCTTCATGTTCAAAGTAGGTCTATTTCTAATCATGTAGAATATTGCTCATTGCATCTCAGGAAGCGCTACCGAATATGTCACTGTGCATCTTCGGAAACAAAAATTTCCCGTTATTGTGTCGGCTTGGATAGCAGGCCAGCTTTACGTGGTTTCGGACAGCCCGAAAACTATCGCCGAGTCGCTGCCTTCCTCTCTTCATCTGGCTGTGAAGGAATATATCTGCGTCACGGATGCAGAACGCGAAGCGGTTCAGTGTTCACGATCCAAGCTTCACGACCCTGCGTGGGTCAGGATCACAAATGGCAAGTACAAGGACAATGTTGGCAGAGTCTTCAAATCGGAAGATGGTTTTGTCCAAGTCTTGATTGCTACATGTGACTTCCCCTATAATATGCCTAGGGGGTCTCGAGGGCTGCTAGAGCGATCTCGCCTTTGGAATAGCAAGGCGGTGTCAGACATCGTTCAGGATGGTGAAGTCGTAGGATGCACATGTGATGGAGAAAGGTATTACCAGGGACTCTTACTAAAAACTTTTCGCCGCGATCTTTTAGAACTTGTCGCCTCCCCCCATGTCAACGACATTCAACACCATCTGGAAGCTGGGTGGGACATGACCTTCCTCAAGACCACTGTGCTGGCATTCTTGATACAATTTTTATGCGTGGGCGATTGGGCCAGAGTCGTCAAAGGCCACCTTCGTGGAGAGGTCGGTCAGGTCGCCTCGACTGACCATATGTACGGTTCCGTGGGCTTGGAGTTCACCTTCGATACATCTCTTGAAGAAATAGAAGTCCAACTTGAGGACATAGAGCGAGTCTTTCGTGTTGGCGACACAGTTAAAGTTGTAGCTGGTCCATACTTAGGTTTGGAAGGGCACGTCATCCAAATGAACGAGGACGTGTTTCACATTTGCCAAGACATCTCTAAGGAAGTGGTAAGTATCTGGCAGCATCAATCCTCTTGGAGGGCTGTACTTAACTCGTGACATATAGGTGGAAGTTTTGAAGTATTACTTGGATAGGCATCCTTTGAAGCACACGCTTAATTTGCAACTGCCAATGCAGCAAATTTTCGAGCCTCCACATGATTCGGACTCTATCGAAATTGGCGATCACATAGAAGTCCTGTGCGGGGAGCACGCCAGAAAACACGGCGTCGTAGATTGGTTTGCTAAGGGTGAAACTAGTTTGTGGTTCCGTGATATCTTCACTGCGGACAGAGAGCCTAGTATCAGCCTGTTGAGTATCTCCATTCCTGTCAAAATGTTTCAGCGGACGAATCTCGCCCAGACGATTCAATTCACAAAGGAAAGGGGTTATGATATCAGGCCTGGAGACGCTGTAAGTGTCGTCCGAGGGCCGGAGTTTGGCATGAAAGGGCTCATGCAGCATGTAGACTTTCCAAACGCTGCCTTGATCCTTATATGTGACAGTGACAAGTCACTCGTAAGTTTCATTCACTTCGACTCAAGCACTTCTGACTTGCAACAGATTAATGTGCCAATCAAATTTTTTGTCAAGCTACATAATGCCAGCTTGGATCCTTTTAAGAAGGATATAGGCCAGGAAGTCTTTGTTATTGGGGGTGATCGGAAGGGCTACCGAGGCACTCTCCAGTCTTTCCATCAAAACTTGCACCATTGCTGTATGCGGGCAACATCACACCACACTCAAACTCCACGAAGTTGTAACTAGGTGAGCGACACACATGTTTTCATGGCGATTCAAAGGTTGACCACTATTAAGGTATGGAATGAGGCTAAACGGTGCGATACTGGAAGGTCCTGAGTTCGTTTCGTTCTGCGAAATGCAGAAAAGATCGTACTTGGCGCTGCCACCTCAAAGCATCACTCCACCAGTCGAACAAGTCCCCTCAAGCTCATCGGCTTCGATCACAGATCCTGACCCTTTGCCATCCAATGGGTTGTCTGCCTTATCCACGAGCCTGCGGAGTGCTGATGTGGAACATGGCCTTTCGTCGAGCGTCATTCCCAGCTCATCATCGTCACTTCAGGCATGGAGTGTTGATGAGCTCGACATCCGGGACAGCCTGGACGCCAGAACAGACAAACCCTGAGACATCAGTGAGTCCTTAAGGGGGGTATCACAACCTATACTCATTTTATCATAGGCCCGCTACCTTGGCTGATGACCAAGGAGTTTTCATCAAAGCTTTTCACATATCATGTGTTGTTGAAGGTCTCGGTGAGGTTCATGTCTGGCAGGCTACAGAAACAGTTCATGTTGATGGCTTCTCCTGACCCATTCTGCGGCAAGAATGGACCTGCACCCGAAGGTTGTGTGGCTGTATTCTGCACATCCAACAGTGCAGGCGCCGCACTTGAACACTATCACATCCCCACCAGTGACTTAAGCCCAGCTCCTCCACGCAAGAAAAATCAGGAGTGCCTTATTCTGGATGGAGTTCATTGCGGGCTTATTCAAATGGTTTCAAAATGTGAAATCACCAAGAAAAATACTGTTGAAATCAAGATCATGCCTACGCTGACCGTAACTTTACGTTCCGACCAGATATGTCTGGTGGAACCTGCTTGACACCTGAAGCAGTAGACTGTACTTACCATGCAATAATCCAATTTCTCGTGTATTTATAATTTTGCAAATGATGGATACGACCTGTGACAGCGCGCTGAACCCCGTATCTTCTCCATTGGTTCGAAATGTTTGTCTCATACTCTCATATTTCTAGTTTCCCAGGTGGTGCTCTGGCGCCTTAAAGAAATCTTATTTCATCTACCGAAATACGTCTGAACATGCAAGGTAAGCAAAATGTTTTTATTTGTATTCTATCTCAAGTGATGACATAGACTAGCTAGCAAAAAGCGCGAGACAAACCTGCTCAACTTGCAAGGTGAGGTCCTCCGTATATTACCAGTGTGCTTCTGAGCAAGGTTTGTTCTCAAATTCCCTCAATTTTTTTTCTAGCATTTTGAATCATGAATCAAAAATGGACCCCAAGATCGTGGTGAGTGCGTTCGTTCAGCATGCATCGAGATCATCATGGCTTCCCAGGTGGTGTATGAATCGTCGGATGATGGTGAGTACTCAAACAGCTGGAATGATTTCAAGATGCAAGTAGAAGCTTTAGGTACGCGTTGGCAACCCACCTTAACGTGAATTCATTTGATCGTTGCAACTCTATAGACAACTCGCCGTCTCCAACTCAACCATTGGCAAAAGTCCTTGGAGAAAAACTTTCTATTTCACAGAAGATAACACTTCAAGCGCCTAGGGCGGATATGCGTTTATGAAGACATGCGTCGCATGACGAGGAGATGCGTGAGATCAATGAAGGTACAGTGTTGAGTTTAAGTTTGCTCAAATGAACATATTATTCACGCCCTCACAGTAGCCCAAAGATGTAGGTGATCTCTCCCTACTAATCTGCGCTTTATTACTTAGTATCATCCAAATCAGTGATGGAGTCGGACAGTGATTCTGGGTCGGCACCGTCGACCGAACAATCTTCGCTGTTCTCGAGTCGCATGACCTTGATGTCATCTGTTGGATCCATGGGCCTGAAGCGTGCACCAGAGTGCTTGCTGCCTCTTCCACCAGCGATTAAACGCAAAGTCTCACCATGCGCACCAGTTGTAAGTCTTTTAATTTTCTTTGCTCCATTGCAACATCATGCATAGTCGCTCAAAACGCTTGAAGGTGAGTCCCTCCATATTACCTTCATATCTGTTTCAGGATCCCCCCCCTCACTCTCCCTCAATGGAAGTGTCTGGTGCTACGCTAAATGCCGGCTGAGTTTGAATATAGTCATTCACTATATACGCGTAACCTTTCATTGACATGTTCTTCTTTCTTACATTCATCAAGTTTTCCGCCTTATGATATTAGTGTTACCTCGAGTTTTGAGATCTAAGTACTTAGTGATGGACTTGAAATCTTTGAAAACGACACACCTTTACTATACTGTAACTTTAGTGTTGGCTATGCACGTTCTTGGCCCGAATTCTTAACATATCACTTCAGTTCATACAGTAGTGCCTACTGCCCATGAGATTAAGCATTATGCATCGCCCAATGATAGGTTGCAATTTCAAATAATGCGCTTAAGCCAATTGGCTGCTCATTTCAAATCATAGTAAGCAATCCTTGAGCATTCAATAGACAATCTTGATTCATGCTCAGATATCAGATACACCGGCGAGGCGTCCTGTGGGCGCGCCCACCATCGTTGACCACTTCAGTTTATCATGTACGTCGCATCACTCTAAAAATTGGGGCAGCACTCCCGTTCACTAAAAATTAGCGTGTTCTACGTGTCTCATACCCTGTCAATAGATCCTTCTGGGTTCCCATAATCTTCCCCTTCACCAGACATCGTCCTCTCCCAGGTGCCCTACTTTTCTTGCAATATATCACCTTGTTCTGAACCTCCTTCATTCCAGGTGAAGAACTCTGGAAAGAGATGGGGAGATGCTGTACCCTCTGGAATCTGACCAAGCACAGGGACACAAATGTCACAGGGCATATGACGCTCAAGGTTGTCGGTGCGGTAATATTCTTCTGGCCATCTATACCTATACATATTCACCCTTTCGGATAGGTCCATGATATCAGTTTCCACCTTCTTTAGCTGTACTTTGACATGACACAGTTCAGATTCTATATTGCTTTGGGGCTCTTTGTCCTTGCCTAAGTGATGAATATTCAGACCGTCCGTACGGTTTCCAGTCTGAATCATCAAATTTCACCTGTTGTCTGAGTTCCTGTATGAACTACTTGATTGATCTGAAGGGATTGCCTACACAGTAGTTCAGATTTGCTCTCTGTAACACTTTATTACTCACGTGCAGTCTATATCATGTAGATCATCTACATCAGGGGTGCTATGTTTGTGTACTGAGGAAGTTGGAAGCTTCAGGTAAATGTATGAGTTTAGTACTGCATAACATGCTGAAGAGCTTACTTTAGTGTGACAGTGCTTCCAACATGGACACATCCTTGCAGATGCTTACAAGATGAACTGGACATTCTTGGTCCAAATAATGATATGCTGTTGTGACACGGCTGGTGCCTTATATGTATCTACAAGCAATGACCAATCTCACAATACTGCTATGCGGGATACTGAGACTTGCGCCATCCAATACCTATGGCACTAGGATGGCACGGTGTTTTTCTTTGTGATACCTATGGCGCTGTAGCACTCGAGCTCGCACTAGGCTCGTATTCACTGATTTCCTGATACACGTTCAATGCCCGTCACTTTCTAAATGTAACCCGCACAACCCGACGCAAACCCGATGCTTTGACAAGCGGACCCGACATTTCGGCCGCATTGGACCCGATATTTTCCCGCGCTCGTGCCCTATCCGTGTCCCATCCCGTCTTGCTAGCCCCACTAGGTGAGTAGTTGATTATTTCACACATTACTCACATCGTAGCAAGCGCTATTACATGTTTTCCCATCATCCACAGCGCCTCATGTTAGTTTACATGTACTTCGGACCCGAAATCATCGGCCGCTACTTTCGCCTATAGGGTTCTGGATTTCTATGTACTTATATATATATTGGACTGACTACGAGTATTTTCATTATCCAAGTAGTAGGGAGCCGTTCCCCGATACTTAGTGGTCAAACCCGATATTTCGTAGTTCTTAGTTGACATTGCGAATATTACCGCTCTTTCTATCTGAAATACCCATCATTATCATATATCCGCATACCGCTCGCTTTCCCGATGTTCGCTATTGCCATTCCCGCTAACCCACTGAACCCAAACCCGAAACCTGCTAAACCCCAACCCGAAACCCGAAAACATCGGACCCGACGCTTTGGCGTTGGACATCGTAGATATACCTTCGGACTTTGTTTCCCGCGCTCGGACTTTTGACCGTTTTATCATTTCACTAACTACAGACCAATCCAATAGCTAACCCCTCGGGTCGAACGCACTTGTCTTGCAAGTATAAGCAGACTAGGCTGTGCACGACCACAACATTTTTATATTGCTGGCTACTTACTTTGTGTAGTGCCCAGCAATTGTTGTATCTCTACACCGCACATTGTTGGACTCTAAGTCTAAATCTCCGTCATATCCGCTGACTGACGCTAAGCGCCAGAACTCATATGAGCGCCAATCCGCATATTCTTATACACAAACATTGTCTTACTCATTCCCCGACTCACTTAAGAGTCGCTGCACTCCACCACCCGCACGCGCGCTTCGCTGTCACTCAGCGCGTGCCATCGCACTTGTCGCTCAGTAGCGCTCCATAGTGCTTTTGCTTATCACGCTTCGCTCATCGTCGCGCGCCCCACCAGGCTTATCCGACAGCCTGGTTCAGTGTTTCCCTCCACTATTATATATAGAGGAACCTTCTCAGTAGCAATCCCCTTGGGCCGACATTAGATTCGCGCACAGAGGACCATCTGAGTATATCTCATACCACCCACTTTCTATCATCCTACATTCCTCACCTACAGCGCGCCAGCCCCTCACCCACGAATAAAGTCAATACTTCACCACCAGCATTGCAACATTCTGAAGTTCTGATGTCTGCACTGCGAGATTCTGAAGAATTGGGTAATGGTAACTGCAAAGGAGGTGAGATGGAGGAAGATGAGGACATGAGTCTGGCATGACACAGACCTAGGCGCCAGAACCGACAGATGCCGAAGAGATTGAGAGATGTGTTACCTCAGCCCCCACCCACTGTTCCCTTGGAAGTGCGCGACCAGCTTCCGGAATCAGTTGGATCTGTTGTTACTGCCGACACCCACCCAGCTGAGCCAGTCCGTACTGTGTTTCATACTCCCCTGAACATATTCGGGCTAATTCGCCAATACACATCCAATGAACCACCATCTCACGATCCGGAAGAGTATGTCACCACCGCAGACCTTTTGTTGATTCATGGCACCCCTCAAATCAATGAATCATTCCAGGAAGATGTTAACTCGAGCAATCATTCTATTTACCATCCCTATCCCAATCATTCCTCCTTCCGGCTTGGTGACTGGTACTGGAACCAGGGTGTGCAAAAGTCACAGGTGGCTTATACCAAATTGTTGGGGATTGTGGGCGACAGTTCCTTCAATACTGCCGATGTAAGCTCTACGTCCTGGAAGAAAATCAACTCCAAACTGGGTACAAATGAGTATGATGAGGAAGAAGGGGAAGAATGGGAAGACGAAGATGCTGGATGGAAAAGAACACCGGTCTCCATCAAGGTACCTTCATCTTGCTCCACGGGAATACCGGATCCTTGGGTTTACGATGCAGTACACTTGTATCACCATTCCCTTGTTGCTGTTTTGCGGAAGAAACTAGCCAATCCCCAAGACAACAAACTATTTCATTACAAGCCGTACGAGTTGTGTTGGGCTCCTCCCCATCTGGATGCCGAGGTCTGCATATATGGAGACTTATACACGTCCCCGGCTTTTCACGAAGCTCACACCAAACTGCAAGAATTGCTGGGAGAACCTGGCTGTAATTTACCTCGTGTCATAGCTGGCCTTATGTTTTGGTCTGACGCGACGCAACTTACTTCATTCGGCAATGTCAAGCTATGGCCCACTTACATGTACTTTGGCAACGAGTCCAAGTACCGCCGTTGCAAGCCATCACTCAACTTGAGTAACCATGTGGCTTACTTCGAGATGGTATGCCTCTCCGCATTTACCTGTAGTGCAAAGCTAACTCACCCTACCAGCTCCCAGACTCAATCAAAGATTTTACAAATGGGAAAGGTATGACTGCGGAGTGTGCGACGCACTGTCATAGGGAATTTTATCATGAACAGTGGAGGATCTTACTCGATGACAAGTTTCTCGAGGCGTATGAGCATGGTATTGTCATTTGCTGCTGTGATGGCGTCAAGCGTAGGTTCTATCCAAGAATCTTCACTTACTCTGCAGACTATCCAGAGAAGTACGTGATGTCCTTGTCACATTGAATGATGTTCAATTTTGTTTCAGGGTACTTATAGCCACGGTCCGAAACCTGGGAGGGTGTCCATGTCCTCATTGCCTCATACCTAAGGATCAGATTCAGAATATGGGAATGCCTCAAGATCGACAACAACGGAAGACTTTGGAGTGCGATGATACGAAAAGACGCATGATGGTAGCTACTGCCTGTTCACTAATTTATGACAAGGACTTGTCGGTCAGTAGCACATCGATAGAAAAAATTCTTAAGCCACAGTCCTGGGTGCTTACCTCGGTAAGACTTGCATTTCCATTGGCGACAACGGCTAACCCTGTTATGATATAATGCATTTTCAGACCGTCTTGGCCATATGTGTCTTAATATCTTCCATGCACTCATGGTAGATCTATTGCATGAGTTTGAGATAGGCATATGGAAGATGCTTTTCATGCATTTGCTACACATCATTGTTTCACATGATAAGTGTCTTATCCATGAATTGGACCAGAGGTATGGTTCGTCCTGATCAACCTGTGTCATTCAGCTGAGCTTCCCTACTAGATACAGGCAGACTCCGACATTTGGCCATGCTACCATTCGAAAATTTTCGTCCAACTCTTTGGACATGAAATGGATGGCAGCTCACAATTTTGAGGACCTCCTTCAGGTATAACTTCTGAGACCGCTATTGGAGCCGAGTAGAGTTGATGAAATGTACAGTGTTCTATCCCTGTGTTCGATGGTCTTCTTCCTGAACCACACAACACAATCGTCCTCCAGTTGCTGTTTACGATGGCCCATTGGCATGGGCTGGCCAAACTTCGAATGCATTCCAACTTAACTCTTGACATCGGTCCTCAGCGGTGACAGCGATATAGAGTCACTAGGTCACAAATTTGTCTATGGCAAGGTACTGGGGCTGTACCATGTCAATATAATTGTGATTGGAAGGGGGATGATTGACTACACTTCAGTCCGAATGGAGTTTTTATGGATTCGGTGGTACGAGCCCATAGATGAGGTGTCTACATGGAATACATTGACCCTAGATCATGTTAGATTTCCACCCATGGCAGACGAACATTCGTTTGACTTTCTGGATCCAGCGGATGTTATTAGGGGCTGCCACATTGTACCATCTTTCGCCAGCGAAAAGAAGCACTCCATTGGACCGGGTGTGTCAGCATGTGCAGGGGACAAGGATGATTGGTGGGAGTACTATGTTAATCGGTAAGCAAGGGCCTCACATTACTCGTGTCGAGCTCATCATTTCAGTTTTGTGGACCATGATATGCTCATGCGCTTTTACTTTGGCCTGGGAGTTGGACACATTTACTCCCATCACCGCATTTCACAATCTGAGCCTCCGAATGGAGCTTGCACACAATCAGCTGTCGTTGCACATGATATTGAAGTCCCCACAGACAACCTCGAGGTCGTTGAAGGTGATGAAGAAGATTCTGCATCCGAAGATGATGGGGCTTCAAGTTTGTGTGGCCTTGAGGAACAGTTCAGCTCCAGCAATGAATCATTATCATCTCAATTTGATGAGATGTACGATAGTGAACTAGAACTTGATTACGAAAACTAAATTTTTGGTGTTATCACGTCATGTGATAGTATTCGCATCTCATGGGCGGGCAATATGATGTAATATGAGGCCCAAATACATACCAGCGTGATGCCGCACGTAATAAGGCATGATACATTCACCCTTTCGAGCAGAGATGATGGATCAATGTACCACTACAATGGTGCATGTAATAGGGCATTGATGGCGCTGTGATGGTCCATTGGCATTCTAAGCCACATGGCATGCAATTTCAAAAAAGGTACATACATATGTAACTTGAATACCTACGACTCACTCTAATGCCTTACAGTCTCCTGTCTGTTGTTGCCAATTGCCATTTCCTACCTAATGTTGAAGATAATATTCTAATTTTTAGATATATGTAGTTCCCCGCTGTTGTCATATCCCATATTCCGGAACTACATCCAACAATGTTCCCACGCCTCATCCGGACCTCCGGATCCCCTGTCCATGTCCTTTATCTGTTCAGATGTCTATACGCCCGAATCCCTGTACCTTTGCATATCCACACATCTGGATCCGATATCCGGACACCTGATTTCATATCCACTTCTCAGGATCCCCAGATCCAACCTATGCTTCATATCCAAGCCCAAACCTTAAATCAGCGCTCATCCCCTTATAGTAATCACCTGTTTCCAGACCCAGACCAATCACGCCCTCATATCCGAACATCTCCAGACATCCGGATCCGACCCACATCTATCTTCTGTGCCTTTTCCCTTTGTATGTTCCTTCTCGAGTTAGTCTATACTCATTTTCTGTACCTCATTTCATTTCCACCTTTATTTTACTATGTTCTCATTTCTGTCTTCATTTATTATTTTCCGATAGACTAGTGTTAGATGTTCCTACATCCTCCATCCACAGCCTCGCATAGCTTCGGACTGCGCTGACTGATTCTCCGTTATGTCCTCCATAGTATATAAACCCTGTAGAAACTCCTGTATTTCCTTAGTCTGAATATTACACATATTAGTCCTCGCACTAGACCTCACACTAAGTCCTCATACTAGTTCTAGTCCTCCGACTTAGTCAATATCCATCTCAGGCCTAGGGAGGAATTCCCTAGGCCAGAGCTCCGCTCCTCTGCTCCTTCACTCCTCCGATCCTACACTCCTCCGAGTTTCCGGACGTTCCTCCGGAACTTTCCCACGGTCCTCCGGACCTATTCTGCTTCGGACTTTGTCCCTGCAGCCTTTCCTCTGTCTCCATTCTACTTAGGATTCATCCTGAGTAGCCATTACACATATCTGTACCAGGACGAAACCTCATAGTAATTTCCGGAAGTTCCTCCGGAATTTTCCCGCACTCATCCGGATCCGGATAGTCCTTCCAGACTTTCCTGCACTCCTTTGGAAGTCCTATGGACTTCCTTGGACTTCCTCCGGATGTCATCTGAATTAAGGGCACATACTCGGATAAGGGGCGCAGCGCACAAGCTGAAGCCAAGCCCTTTGGAACCAGTCCTACCCTTTGTGCACAGTCTTAACAGCTGTTCATTCTCTTGTAACGTTCTGATGGCTAGTACAATTATTCTGTGATCCTTAAGCGAGATATAAAATTTTTAACTTTCAATTGGGACCATACTTGATGTATTGTCACCCCGTAACTTGTTATGCTTGGTCACGGTAAGCTAAAAAAACCCACATAAATATGCGTTGTATCACTCATATTTTCCTCAGAGTCCAACATGTCTGCTCCAGTTCGCATTTCTACCCCAGTTTGTGTTTCCTCTGAAAATATCGTCGATACAAGGCCATTGCTTACCTTGGTGGAGGACAATCATGATGCGATCATCTTTGATCCCGCCTTTAACGTGTTGGCGTTGTTCTCGGTAAGTGGTTTGCACCTGGCGAAGAGGGAAAATATCACTCACAGTTCCATCAGGGCTCCCCAACCATCAGCGTCGAATTCGTTGGCTATGTCCTGCAGTTCTCGAACCCACATCAGCCAATGATCTACCCTCTATATGTAAGTATCTATTTGTCTTGCCAATTTATTTCGTGTATTCATTATGGGCGTAGTCTCCCCCTTTTGGTCTTGATGCTGTAGGCGATTTTTTTCATGGGTCCTATACTATTCCTGACCTTCTCCAGCTCAAGTGCCAGCTTTTCCAGATTGCTTATTTGGAAACACCTATGCTGCATAGCTCTGCATTCGAGCTCGCTGGATTTGAGGTTCCGTTGTTTGCTGTAGTGGTAAGTTCAATTGCGTCTGATGATCACACTGGCGCTGAATAGACATGTAGCTGCAGGCCATGGAAACTGCTCTTCCTTGTTTGAATCTGCAGTGGGTGTGGGGCAGGACTGGCATCGACAATGTGCTCCACGGTGTGTATCACTATGTACGTCTGTCTTGTACTTTTGGTATTTGTTCTCATGCTGACTCACCATCATAGATGGACGTGGCTCGCGCCCATGAACCTGAGGTCAAAGTGAACCTCATGGGGTACCCTTTCGGGTACTATGTCGCAGTCATTCCTGATATTGATGCTTCAATTAACGGATCGACAATCCTTCAGATGACATGGATGGGCTCCTTGGTCATGATGCTCGGCACTCCTCACACCACTGTGGTCGACAAGCTGCCCCGCCCGAAAAAGATCCTAGCTGCACACAGTTTACATCAAATTATGGAGATGTGCCCGAACTGGCACAAGGTTCTTGCATACTTGTGTATGCTTTTAAGGGTGGCTATATGCTGTGGTCGCACTGATAATCCATATCTCCTCGTCAATGTGGAGTTTTCTGCGCGCCGATTGGAAATAATTCGTAGCATTTGGCCTGAATGCCTTTTATGCGCAAACGTCACCTCTGAGAACTTGGAAACAGGTCAGGAGCTCAATCTTTCTAATACCCGCATATCCTGAATTCTTCCTAGTGCTCACCAAAATCACACAAGTTCCGATGTCACACAATGATGTCTTAGCACTCGTGCGTTGTCTTTTTTGTTCATTTTTTTCGGGTCTTATTCCAGCATAGGCTAGTCCATGGATTACCCAGTTCATGTATGACAACCGTCGTGTAGTGGTCAACAGCATGGACGATCCTCGTATCTTTGGCCTGGGTAATTTCTTTGGGTTAGCACAAAGGGAGATCATCGTTGACCTGTTAAAGATGTTTCTGTGCCCCTATGCGCATACATTCCCAATCGAGGTTAATTTTCTTCAGGCTTCACTTTCACTGGCCAACACTTATTTTGCCCTGCAGCTTAATGGTTTTGCTGCATTCCTCATGCTACAGATTGTCAAAGAGCTTGTTTATCACATGATCTTCAGGACCATGTCGACGAGCCGCATCCGATTTACCATCGCTGACTTAGAGCCTGCTACATTCAGGACTGTTGCCAATCCTCCAGTGGACACATTGGCCTTGGCGGGATCCAGCATCAGTGCCTTTTACTCTGAGTCTATTGAAGTTCACACATTGTTTATTCCATTAGTGTTACCAAGCCCTCTTGGCGAGACTCCTGTCCCTCTGTGGGGCAAATGAGGCGATGCCAGATTATCCTAGTGTGGCTCAAATATACAGCGAACTTCACGAGATGGCTATCATGCTTCTCCAGCAGGACAATGATCTGTCCATCACATGATTCAGAGCTGAATTAAGACAGTTGTGTGTCATAATGTGAGTCTACCTTATAATAGGATATAGTTGCTGTACTACTGCTGATGAAATGATCTAGCGAAATGGATGTATACCATATTAGGCACCCAAACGGAGCTCAAGCTGCCAGGCTGGCTGCATCGCATGCCAACTGATATCTAAGTCTGTGTCACGGTTCTGTATGTAACACCTGCAATGACCTTGTTTTTGAAATGTACAAGTTGGTCACCATTGGAAGTTATGTTAGTGTGAAAACTTCAGGCAACACCAGATATAATATTTACTCAGACTGTCTGCCAGATACCAGTGACTCCACTATCATGACATCTTTGTGGTTCAACTTGTACATGGCATGTGCCCACAACTCCGCCGTAAGCGTAAGCATTGTGTTCTGGATCACTATAAATACTGACCATGTGCAATAGTACGCCTTCTTTTCACTATCACCACCTTGAAAAAATCGCTTAGAGCAATAAACTTGTGTTTGGTGTCATCTGCCATTGTTTTGCAGACCTGTGAAGAAGACAGCCAAGTGCTCCGAGACTGCATCATCGTCATGAATTTATCTATTGAGTATTTTATTGATCTAATCTAATCTATTATATTTTTAGAGTTTGATGGCCATCAGCCATGGTGCCACTCACTTCCATGCCATTTCCTAAATGACAACACATCGCTCACCCAATATAAGCAAACCTATTGTAAGTTCTGTGAGTGTTTATCGCTCACAAGAACAACACCTAGCCTCCTCTACAACGTTAACATGCCAAATATCAGTTCCACATGTGAAACTACCTACAAGACTAATTTTCTTGGAATTGAACAAAACGAGACAGCCCTACTAGCTTGGCTCCAGACAGAGGGACATGACATGGTGAGCCCATTGGCAAATATTTAAGTACTTTTTCTAATTTCATTTCCAGCTTCCAGACTCCCTCTTGACCACAGCTTCCTTTCTATTTGGATGGGTCGACACTCATGACATTATGGCTCTCCTTGATGTAAGCCTCAGAGAGGTCATGATGCAGATGCAGCTTCAGCAAGAGGAGGATATGAGTTATGCGGGATTCCATTCGCAGGGGGCATGTTTAATGGAAGACAGGATGCATCGAGCTCAGATGGAAATTTCATTGTTTAGTAATGCTATTGCAAACTTATGCGAATATCTGGAAACTCGAAATTACCCAAGTGAGCCATGCTATTCAATGTACTACGTCCAATCCTCATGACATGTTATTACTAGTCAGCACACAGAAGCTGCCCACAGTGAACACTATCACATATGTGGAAGCATCCCCAGAGCTCAGCCCGATCAGATTCAATTGCTTTGAACCTTCAAATGTCATTCAAGACAAATGCAATGCATGGCTTCATGCACCATCCCATTTTCCAGACATCATGCAGGCTGATTCCAACACAACTAGAACACTTGGTTCCCTGAAAGCAGTAGAAATTTCTCTCGGAGTAAGTCCTATTCATGCTATGATAAACCAAGGTTCTGACACTAGGCAGCCTGACAATCACTTTCCCTCCCTCGTTCATTAAAAACTTGGGTTGATAACATCACGTATTGTGCATACATGAGCGCGACCTTTGCAGAAGCCAAGCCCCTGTACGTTCGCGATAACGACAGCTTCAAAGCAAAGGAGCAGAAGACCCCTGAGGTTCTCAAGTCCGACATCTATATATATTCTGGGCCTAAAGAAGCAATGTGTGCAGTCCGAAGTGGACATGCTTTCCGAAGCCATATCACACATTTCTGAGTTTGGTGATGATGGTGGGCAGTAGCTTATACTCACATTTTCTCATACTAAGGATCTTTTTGTAGTCACATCTTCTGGAAGCGCCGTGACACATGCATCACTTGTGCCTGACGACTATATCGAAGATGGGTTTGATGATTGGGTGTTGACCTTGTATGCCTCTTCCAATGTTGAATTGCTGTGATCCTCTTGGTTTTACTTGTACTCAGTTTGTAGCCATTCTCTTTCTACAGTCGAAGTCTTTGGTATACATTCACCATAACTATCACTGTTATACGGTAATTTGTATCTGTTGATTGTAAGTTGGACTGTATTTATTTTATTTGTATTGCTTGCTTGTGATAACAACTGCTATCAGTTGAGTGCGACATATTGACAAAATTGACAGGATTTAAAGCCTCAAGTTCCTGTAGGTAGGTAAAATACATACTCGCCACCTACAACCCATCGTTCATCATATCGACACTGAAATTTGGCCATCAACGCCCTTAACTGGACTACGCAATAGTGAGATCATGTTTGTATCAATTTCACCACCACCTCAAATTCACTTGGATCTTCCTCCCTGACGGGAGACCATACTTCTGTCCCCCGCTGTTGGTCATGATCCTGGGCCTTTGCCATTCTACGCCTGTCGTCTCCCAACCTTCCTTGACCTTCCCTTCACTGGATCACGCACATCAGCATAATCAGATATGAAAGGCACTGAGGTATGTACTGTTTGGTTCGCACTACTCGCATCGGTCTAATATTAATTACTTTCTGTGAACTTGAAAGTGATCCTTCCATCTTGGCCTCCAGCCTTGCCTTCAAGCCGTTAATTCCACATGCCCGCTGATATAATTTGAGTGCAGAACTAAGGGATCAATGTAGATATTGAAGCTACTCACAGTGTTTTGTGGTCCCATAGCCGCTTTACTTATTCAATGACTTGGATATGTGTGCGTTGAAGAGATACTAATTGCGAAGTGTTATGAGTGGAATGTAAATAGCAATCTTACATGTTGCTCATCCCGGTATGCCAATGATCACATTTGCAGCTGCTTCGCATAGTATTTCTTACTGTAGGCCATACCTTTCCCACTTATTATCTTTCTAAACTCATTTTCCTGTATTACTATTCCGCTGCACCGCGATCTTAGAGTCTTTCACCACCACCTACAGAAAATAGCCTAGTCATACACCGCAAGATATCCTGGTGCTTTGGTCCTTGGTAATTTGAACGTTGCAATTCTTGTGCACAATGAGATATTCAGCCGTTTCTTGTATTCGTTCGTCAACACAAGTGAGCATTCTTTTCGGTCGTTCATCGCAGCCTTTTGACATCGGCACCCAGCGTATTCGAGCTGAATCACTGTTTCTTCAGATGGACTTCCTTGTGCATGACCTGTAGGTTCAACCGTGACATAGATAAGCTCATGACCATACTAATTTTTGAAGGGGTATACACCATCGTAACTTGAATGCCTATGACACTGCAGATGGAAAGTTTGACCATGTCGGAAGATATGTCGTCCAACAGCAGGCTTTCTGGTACACGGTCAGAGCGTCCATCTTGTAAGTACTACTTTACTTGCCTTCTATTGGGTTGGTGACAGTGCGGTTCTGCCTGCAGGACAGGAAATCTCAGTTGATTTAATACGACCCTTCCAAGTAAGTTCATGCACTGTCAGCCAGATTGTGACATTCATTTCCTCGACACGTTGGACCAGGGGTGGGCCCAAGGGCAAGGGCCCTCATGCACCAAGGGCCTGTCCGCTAGGTCTCTAGCATGTTGTCGCGTAGCTCCGTGCCTAGCATCACACTTTTCTTGTCACGTTGCGCTCAGTTCCAGCTTGTTTTTTCTTGGGTTCCATTGCAGTTGCAGTTGCAGTCTTGCCTTGATCCTTTGCATTGGTCTTTGCTCTTAGTCTTTCCTGTTTGCCTTGTTGGTCACTCAGCATCTCTACTACTAGTCCCATGCTGATTCGTTCAGACACTGTAGTAGGGTGTTTGGTCCTTAGGGGCTAGTCCCTGTTGTGCCGGGTGTTTGTCCCTGTTGTGCTGGGTGTTTGGGAGTGTCAGAGGTCCAGGGCAGGTGTCTAAAGTAGGGTTCCATGTGTAGCAGTAGGGTTCTCATCATCCATCCATCTGTGTTCACCTTGTGTCGAGGCCCCTGGCCCTCTCCAACGCGACGAGGGTGTCACTGTTTTTTATGGGGGGTGCATGGACCAGGGCCCAGTGTCTCACCGCACTTGAAAGGTTCTGTCGGCCTTTTCCATAGCTTAGTCAGCACGTAGACTAGTAGGTCCGAGTCTAGGCTAATCATTCACTGTGTTCTTCAAGTTCAATCACGTAGCTTCACCTGATTCCAACTTGCTTGCTCAGTATCTAGGCTGTGAGCCCCTCCGAGTTGGTCTGCTCCAACGTGGATTTGAAATTGTGAGCTCGTCGCTCATCAGGGTGAACAACGGTGAGCTCATCTCCTTGTTGTCATCACCTGTCATTCCACTGCAACTGATGCAGGACTTTCTTCACCTAACAATTCCAGTCAGCCAGTCGCCCAACGACAATTCCATCCTCGCTCAAGCTCTTTCCACTGCAAGCAGTCCGGGAAGACTCGGATGTACCAGGGTTTGGAGGGGTTACATGGTGTGCGTGTCATTTCTGCTAAGTCATAACGTGCACATGCATTGATTACTATACTCCCTTAGGTCAATAATGACGCTGCCAACCTTTGGGAAGACTATTACCTTGACATGACCACTTCTATGGCCTCTGAGTGGCTCATGTAGTAGAAAAAAGCCAAACAGTAAAAGACCTTGTAATTCCAACCACACATCTACCTCCATGACAAAGTCTACTTCCCCTCTAAACAATCATGATTGCGACTTGTGCCTTCATTATCTCCACCACTCCGACAAAATTGACCTCCAAAACGCTCTATGTGACACCTACCACCATCAGTACAACCCCGTCCCTAGGCTACCATCCCCAAAAACACCCCCGAGCAACCCTCAACCCCCTCTTTGCACTCCTTATCCCAACAAAACCGGGCCTCCCCTCCAGGCTTATGCTAGTAGAATTTTTGATTTACGATTATGTAAGCTTTGGTGCTTGCAGCCGCCAGTGATCTACTACTTACTCTCAACAACTCTAGTTCTCACCATGACTACAACCTTGAAGTACTCTCGCTAGTCACCAAAATTACTCAGGAGATTGACAATTATACGATAAAACACTCGCTGAATTTGTCATTTCTCTTCACGACCAGTCAAAATCATTTCCCAACTTCAAATTGCAACTCAGTAGTGCTGGTGCTGAATTCCCAGACTCATTCTTTGAGAACATGGACCGTCTAATCCTGAGCTTGCATCTGAAACACAAGAAGAAATTCAGTTTAGTTACTCATGACACTTTAAACACCGGTGACACACTTGATCGTGAAAAGGACAAGCAGAGGCGACTTTTCCCTGGGATTGCTGTGCCAGACAAGGAGATGAAGAAGGATGTGCTCATGAAAGAGGTGGATGATATGATGGCTCAGTTTGAAGGTGTTGTGAAGAGGGCAAAAACAACAGATGAGGATGACTCAGAGAGGCCTGCAAAGCGGGAGCGAAGAGATCGATCTCAGTCACAGTCACCACGCCATTGTAGTCCAAGCCCTGACAGGGGCCACAATTGCGACTCCAGAAGGGATGATTGGAGGGGGAGAAACAGAGACGAGTGGCCAGTATTGTTTAAAATCTACAGTGGCCGAATATCAAGTCTCAAAGAGTTTGGCACTTTTGTGCAACTAGAGGGTGTTGCAGGATGTGTAGAAGGTGTGTAGAGCATTGTGGTCCTCAGCATCGTTGTATCAACATACTTCCAGGCATGGTGCATGTTTCAAATATTCAGCAAGGTGCACGTGCAAACTCTGTGTCAGATCTTCTTAGCCATGGACAATAGGTCAAGGTTAAGGTGATGAGCATTGCAGGCAGCCATATTGGTCTATCTATAAAGGATGTAGACCAAGCTACGGGTCGTGATCTCACTCCTTACTTGCACATCAAATCTGAAGCCGAGATGGAGGAAGAGCACCAACGAGTGGCTTGCGTGTCCTCTGGGGCCAATGCTGTGCCATTGTGCTCGAAAGATGAACCATCAGCGACTCGGTCCACCAGATGTCTGACCTCAATCCTGACCTCAATGAAGACTTCGTGAATCCTGTAGCTCAGATGAAACGCACTCTTGATCTCAGTCCTGTAAAAATCATCAAAGCTCCTAATGGCTCCCTTGATGGAGCCGCCCTAAGGGGTGCAGCTTTGGCTAAAGAGCGATGCGAGCTTCATCAGCAAGAAGCTAATGAACAAGCTGACTCTGAAGCTCGAGACTTTAGTGCACCATCATTGCTCCCTTAACCCTCCCATCATCTGGTAAGTCGACCGAACCCGAGCCAAAACAACATCGTATGATCCACACTGGTTTTTTTCTCGCTAGCGCCGCTAAAAGACTTATATTGTCTATGAGTGCTGATAATATCCTTTCTTCCTCAGATAATCGATTCCTATCCAACGTTGCCAGAACCAACAAGATGTTCACCTACAATGGTATATGATCGCAGCTCGAGTGGAACTCCACCTTGAGCATCTCCAATGCCCCCCAACCCACTGCTGACACCAAGTTCCTTTGCAAGGTCAGTTGTTTCCTAGCCCTCTATGCTTTATCTAATCATAACCTTCCAGACTTCAATCATTGCAACTATCGGTGCGCTATTTGTGTGTTTAGTACAATGTTGATCCTCTCTAGGTCCAAACACGAACACCGTTGAGAAACTTGGCGCCCTGAGGCGCGCCAGTGTCAATGTTGGTCAGCGATGATCGTACATACAATTTCTACGACGACTGACTCACTCCCCTTCTCTCAGTTTGCATGAACTTTTCTCATGGTTCATATGATTACCACCAGAGTGTCATCAATAACACCAGAAAGTGGGTAATTCAAATTGTCCGATCATCCGACTGTTGGACTGATACCCGATATTAGCGGATCCCAGTGGACGACCTGTTGCGATTGCTTTGGACACAGTGAGGCTCATGCACTCGTGTCATAAATTCATGCTGATATTCGGCTGATAACAGAAATTTGTTGCATCCTTGTAAGATGCCCATCACAATAAGGTGTCTGAGGCAAAGTCATATACTCTTTCACATATTTGTTGCATCCTTGCAAGATGCTCATCACAATAACATGTTCAAGCCAAAGTCATATATTCTTTCATATACTTGATGTGCAAAGACAATAATGTGTAATTCCAAATCTAGATGTATCATAGTGTGTTTTATTTGTCAGCTCCACCTGGTCATATCAATTGAGGGTTAATTTCCTGATGTCCAAACTCCAGCTCATATGTATCTTTTGACCTGATTCACGTTCATTGACCAGTTGATATCTGTGGAAGGGCCTGTCCGACAAGCCAAAAGTGATGCACTCAAGAACCAAGGTATGTGTGGCTTTGTCAAGTTGGATTATTCAAAATCTACTGACCGAATGTGTTGAATCACAGTTTGGATGTCAGAGAAGAATCCACGAAAGCACATGGCATCTAACGTTGCAGAACCTGTTGTACACATCAGGCAATTGACTAGACTTTGACAGAGATTTATCTAGCCTTATTTAATGTATAATATTTATAATATTTATCATAATTGTAGATCACATGATAAAGAAATAGATAGGCAGCCTACATAGGTGAAATTTGCCAAAGCTATGATATTGATAGGCCTGTGGTACCGGGTTGTGATCTACTGACACACTGGTGCATCATTGTCAGATGTATCCAATCTTACATGGGTAGCTTCCAATGACGATATATATAATCATTAACAATGTGTCAGGAAATGATGCTAGATTATCATAGTCTATCAATGTGCTGATTTCCCACCAAACATACCTGGCTTTAGATAGGCAGCCTCCGATGGCAGGAGCTGCCATCAATAGTGGTATGATTGGGCATGACATTGGCTTACCGTGGTCTATCAATGTGCTGATTTCCCACCAAACATATCTGGCTTTAGATAGGCAGCTTATGATGGTGGAATCTGCAATTGCTTACTATGTGTCAGAGTGTGATATTGGGCTGCCATGTTATGGCAAGATGCCGAGCTGCTACCACATGTGTATATGACTACATAGATATTTTTTGATGGTGGGGTCTGCAATTGCTTACTATGTGCCAGGGTGTGATATTGGGCTGTCATGTTATGGCAAGATGCCAAGCTGCTACCACACATGTATATGACTACACAGACATCTTCTTCTGATGGGATCTGCAATTGCTTACTATGTGCCAGGGTTTGAGATTGGGCTGTTATGCCATAGCGCAATGGTGAGCTACTACCAGATAGGTCTACTGTTACAAAGCTGGTCACTTTAGACACTTCATTCACAACCATGGTCATATTTTTGACAAACATATAGCCTTACGTTCCTTGCAATAGACTTATGTTCGTGCCAATGGTGGAGGATTCATCAATCAAATTATGGGTTAACGTGCTTTACAGACAGTACAGTACAAAATACATAGATTATGTAGTGTCAGCATTGGCTCGTTCTTGCGAAGCAGCGCATTTTGCTCGAATTTTCAACAGCGCACTGTTTTCGCTGATACTGCGCTGTGAAGATGAAGAATTAGGAAAAATACGGCTATGCAATGTGTCAATTTCAATTTCGAGCATTTATAATTGATTAAATGAATCACGAACTGCATCCACCACGTCATGAGGTCAACAACTTCCTCACTTTCATCGGGATCCTCCAACAGGTCAAGAATGCTGTGATAGAAATTTTTGGAGTCCGTAACCATGTCGGTACATGAAAATACAGACGATGAACTCAATGAAAATCGAACCTAAATGCACAATCAGCAGGGGAAAGCTTAGTTTATACATTTTCCTACATACCTGTGTAGCAATATAGGCCAGGGATCCTTTGGTAACAGACTTCATGCCGTGGAGGTAAGCGTTGCCGGAATGCGTAGCTTTCGGTTCCCTATCCACCGAGCTTGGGGATGTAAAAACATGTTTGAAACCCTATCGAGGGAAATGACTGAGTGAGATGTTCATCACTAACAACATGAACTTACAAATATTAGTATCTCGCTCCTCAGTAAACCCTTCCATGGATCTTCAGGATCATAGTTATACTCGGCATATAAGAACATAGGCCACTGGTCACCGTGTACTGCAGTTTCGCCGCTCTTTAGACTCAGCTTGGTTCTGAGTTGTAGTGTGAGGACAGTTTATTGAATGATGGAAAGACTTACACTACATTTGACCAGTCAAGGCCTGCTGGGCAGAGCAATGCACCGGTGACTTCATGATTAAACCCGCAATCTGACTTGATGTTTCGGGAGAGGGGCGCTATGACTACTTGTCCTCTGGGCACAAGCCATTCAAGAACAGCAGACTTCAGAGTTTTTGTATTGTCGCCTCGCGCACTGGAAGCCCCTTTACCCAGCTGCAGAACAGTGAGTATGACAACTTCCAGTTTTAAAGACTTACCAATTCTCCCACATAGATAATATCCTCCTCCTCCCCCGTAGTCAAATGATCTAAAAGTCCAGGATAGGAATCTATTAATTCCACGAACACCCTGTGTTCACGCTGAATGCTAGTGTTGAAAGTATTCTTAACACCTGGAGGACTGCTATTATGATAATTACACTCACTCTGCTGGATAATCCTCTATAGGAGAGTCCTGTAATTCTTCGAGTCGGAGGATCTCTGCAGTTAAAAGAGCAGGATAATTGCATAAGGCGAACATCGTCCGACCAAAATGTCGGCCATGCAGGATGAGGGGATTCGATGAAGTTCTGATGAGGATAGGTCAGGACGGTAATTTTGACCATTTGGAAGAGCACTGACACTTTTTTACGTGGGCCCAACTGAAGCACAGAACCAGTGTGCTTGCACGAAGGATCGCCAGAGGGGGGATGGTTCTCATCGCTACTCATAATAAGTTGAAAATTAGACAACCCTAATAAACGAGACGCTTTATAAGTCCAAGCAGACAATGACTTAATGAAAAAAAAAACTTGCCATTCGAGCGCTATTGAGAGCATAACGGAAAAAAGCATGGCCATCCAAGCCCCATACATCTCATAATGGAAAAGATATTGGCCATCCGAGCGCCATACATCTCGTAATGGTTAAAAAAAACTTGCCACAGAAGCGCTGTAGAGATACAACAATTGCTGGGCACTACACAAAGTAAGTAGCCAGCAATATAAAAATGTTGTGGTCGTGCACAGCCTAGTCTGCTTATACTTGCAAGACAAGTGCGTTCGACCCGAGGGGTTAGCTATTGGATTGGTCTGTAGTTAGTGAAATGATAAACGGTCAAAAGTCCGAGCGTGGGAAACAAAGTCCGAAGGTATATCTACGATGTCCAACGCCAAAGCGTCGGGTCCGATGTTTTGGGTTTGGGTTTAGCGGGTTTCGGGTTTGGGTTCAGTGGGTTAGTGGGAATGGCAATAGCAAACGTCGGGAAAGCGAGCGGTATGCGGATATATGATAACAATGGGTATTTCAGATAGAAAGAGCGGTAATATTCGCAATGTCAACTAAGAACTACGAAATATCGGGTTTGACCACTAAGTATCGGGGAACGGCTCCCTACTACTTGGATAATGAAAATACTCGTAGTCAGTCCAATATATATATAAGTACATAGAAATCCGGAACCCTATAGGCGAAAGTAGCGGCCGATGATTTCGGGTCCGAAGTACATGTAAACTAACATGAGGCGCTGCGGATGATGGGAAAACATGTAATAGTGCTTGCTACGACGTGAGTAATGTGTGAAATAATCAACTACTCACCTAGTGGGGCTAGCAAGATGGGACGGGACACAGATAGGGCACGAGCGCGGGAAAATATCGGGTCCGATGCGGCCGAAACGTCGGGTCCACTTGTCAAAGCGTCGGGTTTGCATCGGGTTGTGCGGGTTACATTTAGAAAGTGACAGGCATTGAATGTGTATCGGGAAATCAGTGAATATGAGCCTAGCGCGAGCTCGAGTGCTACAGCGGGAAGAAGAAGATCATTATACATCGAGGCAAGGTTGGACATGGAATGGATGGATGGAGGATGAGTGACGGAACCAAGGATGCATGCACCGATGCGCGACCAAAGCACCTGAACGGGCGAGCGGCCGACGAAGCGCCAAGTGCGCCGAAATGAGATACAGGTCGTGCTGTGTTTGGAAGGTGTTTAGGGCGTTGTAGAATTAGCTCTCTACGAGGCCACAGAGATGTTAGTCTCTACATCTCATAGGAACTTAGCTTCTGACTGTCCCCAGTCAGCGTACATAGGGGTGGATGGACTTAGTGAATTTTTGATGGGAAAAGTCACGTGATCATGGGTGAAACACACCAAATCAGATGTGTAGCAGGCCCACTGTGGTCACATGAATTGTGGTGAGCGGGTGGAATTGTGCTGACATAATGTGGTTCATTTCCAACATAAAAGCCGGCCACGCATCGCGCTTCTCTTCTTCAATTCAATACTCCATCGCAGCTTCACGATTATCTTTGCTTCTATCTTCCATCATGTCCTCTGTCATCTTTAACCCTGCTATTGTTACGCTGACCGTCGGTCGGCGTGTGCGAACTAGGATGGGTCTTCTCAGCGACGACTCGAGTGAGTCTACTGAAGCTGAGCGTGGTCTGACCTTGACGGAATGTCAAGGGTTCCTCCGGCGATCTCGGTAAGACGGCGCTCGTCGAGATGCAGGGCTAGCGGATACGTGCTAAGTCGTATGGGGGCAACTTAGAAGTGCGGTCTCACACAAGGAAGCAGTTAAGCTTAGATGAGCAAGTTCTGGGGATGAACCTAGTAGATTAAAGTAAAGTCTAAGTACAATAATCTGTGTCTACTTATAGGGAAGTACTACAAGTATTCTAGCTCAGTCTGTAATCAATAGTATATCGTAAATCTATGATAGCAAGACATGAGGGTCAGATAAGATACATGAGGCTTAACCTCTGATCAAGCATGCTGCGCCAAGGGCAGCTGCGCATAGGTACAGGAAGCGCCAAGCGCGCTCCGGATCTTCATGAAGCGACATGCTGTATGCATGCGCTGATCTAGGGTGTCCATGAGGCGTACTGCCTCCATGGATCAGGTACAAGGCTGTCTAGGCCAGGGGCGGGGTCATAGCGCCAGGGGCGGGGTCATAGCGCCAGGGGGCGGGGTCATAGCGGTCCAGACTGCTGTCTTTCTAGGCGCAGGCGGCGCACCGCCGCGCGGGGAGTCTAGCAGAGCGGGGGGCAGGCGTAGGGAGAGCTGGGGCTCTAGTAGGTGTTACAGATCCCTGTAACAGCTATGTTGACTGCATCTCCCTCTCCCTCCCCCGAACCTGAGGAGCGCCCGCAAGATGGTGGCGACACGTCTACAAATGACACCACTCTCAATGACGTGGCTCAGAAGGAGCCTGAAGAATCCGTCGCAGATCGGATCGACCATGCATGGGCGGCAGTTCTCAATACTATGCATGTCTGCATAGACACATCTCCTCCCTCCAAGCCTGAACTCTTGGAGGAGCAGGAATGCTGGCTCCGTGATTGGAATACCGTGATGGTGAGTGGCACTGTCCGTATTAAGTGCTTACATTTGCTAATGTTTTGCTTGCAGTCCAATATGACCTCTGTCTTCCACCGTGCGCATGCGGCAGAGATGCACTTGTCCCTGAACGATGTGGATGCGGTTACGTTAGCTGGGGGTAAGATCGCTGCATGGATGCTAACAAGAGCCATGAAGACGTGGAAGGAGAAGGCGGAGGGGTCTGCCGTGACTGCACACCCTGGTGTGCGCTGAGAAGGGGAAGGCGAAGAGGGTTGTCACTACTGAGAAGACAGTGGAGAAGGCGATGGAGAAGTTGGGTAAGTAGAAGGCGCCCGAAACCAGTCCTTACCATCGGAAGATGCGAGGGCTGCGTTAAAGTGCGAAAGGGCTGTTCATTTGGTGAGTTCGCAGTTATCACTTCCTTTTCGTTTTTACTAATGCTTGATTAATTTTAGTTGCCACTAAGAACAAGGGACGCACGCCGGCTGTGCTGAAGTGCAAGGTGCCTCCCTCCGTGCAAATGACTGCGCCGGATGCTGGTGAGTCCGAGGTGGAAATGTGGGTGAGGCTATGGCCAATTAACCCATTGCCAGCCACATAATTCAGTACTTTATTTCCAACTTAGTCAGACAGCCCAAGGTTGAGAATTGACCCAGTGAGGCGGGCCATCCAACGTGGGCCCATGTGTGCTTATGCACGGATGGGCCCACAGTGTGGAATAGCACCCATGCTAGCGGGTGGGCCAAGTGTTGATGCCATAGGTGAATGGGACAAATGTAATGGGCCAGAAGGTACATGGGCCCAGTTATATATCTCAGAAGGGGGAACAGATGGGCCCAGCTACTTATTCTTGGGGAATTTTGATGTCAGAAGAGCCAACAGGAAAATTTCGAGCCCATGATAGTATCAGGCATGGCTGGCGAATGGGCTTCAGCTTGTATCGGAATAGCTTATGGATGAGCCCAGCTGGTTATTGACAGTATCAGAAGAGGGCACCAGTGAACCGACCAGTTATTCCTGGGCCCATCACATTACCGGGAAGGGTTGGTTGGATGGGCCAACTGGTTATTTTGGGCCAAGTAGATACCAATTCAGTGTGTGGATAGGTCAAATATGCAAGAGCTGGCCTGGCACATACAAATTCAGGTGCGGATCGGCCCAGTGCACAAGCATCCGGAAGGGCCCAATTGGTAAGGTTTAGGCCCAGTGCACAGATATCTGGAAGGCCCAAACTGGCCCAGCACATGCACATTCATGCAAATCAGGCCATCTGAGGTGGGTCCCAATATGCAGGCAAGTCGGGTGGGCCTATCATGGAGGAATTCCCGGTAGTCATGGGTGGGCCATTAGTATATGAATGCGGGTACTCATTTAGTAGGGGTCACGGATGGGCCCAGCTAGTTTTTTTCAGCCCACCAGATATACATCTGATCCCTCCCGGAGGGGCAATGCATGGTCCCATCTATCAGTACATATGCTGGGTAGCCTTGAATGGGCCTATGAATGGGCCCAAGAGAATATGCATTTGATCTTGGAAGGGCCGACTAACCTGAATATACGGCATGGACTGCATTTTATATTGGAAGGGCCAGCTAGTTATTTTGTCTGGCCCATGATAGGCATCTGATTTCGGAAGGGGCAACAGTTGCGCCCAGCAGGATGTTCTTCAGCCTAGTACATATGCAAATAATCTCGGAGGAGCTTCTGGATAAGCCTAGTGCAAGTGTTGGATCTCAGAAGGGCTCGGCTAGGGAATTTTGGCTCAGTCAGTGCATATTGAGTCAGAGACTAGTTATGTCAGATGCAACTGGTGCAACAGAAACAAGTGATTAAATACGGGACAAAGTTCAATACGAATGCTGATCCGGATCCGACATTGATATACATGTCGGAGGGATGCACCATACACATACCATCCACAATGATGCACATCGTTTTAACACTCAGAACAATCATCGGCCGCAATCATCATTCCGTAGTCGGAAGTCTCAAAACTTTGCCACTACCGCATGAATATCACAGCTTCATGTAATCATCATAAAGTAAAGCATATTCTCACTAGGGAAGACAAGATATTGAATAAAACAACAATGAAGCTTGTATCTACAAAATACATAAACCCAGAACTGAGCTACAGGAGATGGGGACCATGAACAACATAGTAAGGAAAGATGAAGCTAAAAGTACAGAATATATAGGGTATATGATATAAAGAGTCCCGGAAACTAGTTGGTCCAAGATGTACCGGATGGGGTGACATTGCTCTCTACCAGGCATCCGAGGCGTTAAGGTGTTGCTCCAGTGCGTCCAACCGCTGGTGGAGGATAGTCTCCACTGAACACACTCTTACATCCAAGGTGTCCACCCGCTCATTGGTGGCCAGAAGATCAAATTTCCTGCCGAGGTCCTGAATGCCCTGCAGGATGTCTCTTGCAGTTGGTTCAGGATCGGCACGGTTAGTCGGCGCAAACTGATCACCCTGTTCGGGCTGTTGGCTTGTGCTAATGATCGCGAGCGTTTTCATCAGCACATCAGCCAGCAGGCCAGGTTGTTGGTCTGCCTCTAAGAGTCATCTCAATGAGTTGATGTTCTTCCATTTGGATGGAAAACTCACCTTCAGCGATATTAAGTGTAACCCCGAGAGATCACAGGGGACTTCCGAATGCGCGTTCCGGAGTGCTCAGCAGAATTTGATGCAGCCGTGGCTGCCTTTGCCTGCTTTCTCTTCCTCACACCGACACCGTCGATCGCACAGGTGACCTTCATGAGGTCGCAATTTGCGCATGCAAGTCGCATGCATCCGAGCTTTTTGTCCGGAAGGACAACACAGGGTATGTCCAACTTCGTGCATTTGTCGCACTTCTGGGGGTGATAGCGAACGGAATGCTTCAAATTTGTTAGCTTGTCTTGCTAACGATGGACAAAACGACTTACCTGGCACAGGGTAGCAATATGAGCATCTGAGCCCCATTCCGCAGGCTTGGACTTGGGTCAGCATCAGCGCCATGGATAATGGCGAGTCACATACCAGAGTTTCTGCGTCCCGGAAGCCCTGGTCATCGCCTAGCAGAACATCCTTGTCCGTGGTGACAGGCAGTAATGCCTTGAGCTGTAAGCCGTTTTATTCATAAACCAAGATCAACAGACATACCTTTGGTTTCACATAATAATTCTGGTGGGCCTTGTTTTGACATTCGACTTGAACTTCCTCTTCTTTTTCAGAGGCTGTTGGGACGGGGAAGGCGACTTGGGGATTTCAATTACAATGGCCCCATCCATATCTTCATTGTCCGCCTTTCTCTTCTTGCTATCGCCGACCTCAAAAACTCCCCTCTGTGTTATTTTGTCGACATAGAGGTGGTGGAATCTTGTGGGTGGACCTGCCTGACGACCGAGAAGGGGCGGATTCTTACGCGCTCATAAGCGTGAAGATCGTTTCGGTTCTGCTACTGGCTTGGCAATAATATCCGGGTCCACGCGGGATGGCATTGATGCTAGAGCTGAGGTCGTCAAGGGTGGGACAATGTGAGGTGGTGGGGTGGGAAAGGTGGTGGGAATTGCGCTCGATGTCGCAAGTAGAGAAACATCAAGGACAGAGGGTGGGCGATAGTCCACGGTCTTCTTGAATCGTGGGTGGCTCTTGATTCTTGGGTCGTCTGCTGCGACCGAGGTCCAATCGGGAACACTCTCAAAGGTGCCACCCTGTGAGTACTGCTGTATAATGGCAGCACAGGAGAGTAGCAGGGGAGAGAATGATGTCGCATTCCCTGCATAGAGTTTCAAGTCTTTGGCCTGTGTGAAATGGTCAGGTTTGCAAAAATTCTGAAGTCGGAGAGGAAATACAACTTACCACTCGCCTGGCAATCTCATCCGAGAGCCTTAAGGTTTCTGGGTCGGCTTCCTTCAACTTCATGCAACGCTTCATGAGCAATTGCACAGCAGCCAGAGTGGTGTCCAGGGCGTTGTTGGCCGCTTCCTGAGATATCATGACGAGTTGTGAAGGAAAGAGGTTTGTTGATGCAATGAACGGAAAGTAAACAAGAGAATATATTTGTGTGGGAAAATGTCTGGCCGTTATCCCAGTCCACCAGTTGTGGGTGTTTCCGCGAACTGTGGAGACTCAGAAATGTGGCCGGGTGTCACAAATTGTACAAAACAACTGTGGCTACCGCTCTCGGATTCGGTCGCGACAGCCAGTATATCCACACCGGGAAATGTGGATCCACCACTGATTCTGGAAAATCATGTAGAGTCCGGATATCCCATACACGGCATAGCACCCATTATGGGTGAGAAGTGGATTAAGGCTTGTCGCAGTGGAGGTATCGTATGTCAAACCACGTGTCATTGTGACAACAGACGGTAATGTGGTGCGTGCCTCACCATTACAGACTAGCCGCCGCCGCCGCAACAAGCCTTAATCCACTTCCCACCCTCACAGATGTGATGCATCTAATATCCTGGACAACAGATTATGTTTCAGGTGGTAATGTGGATCGGCCTTTCCCGATGTGGATGCGGTGACCTAAGACAACAATGGTCGCAGCAGTTCTATTGGGTTACAATAATTTACACCCGGTCCACATTTCAGAGCTTCCACAATTCGCGGAAATGCCACAACCAAGGGTTGATAAGTAGGCACTTGGATGATTTTCCAACACCAAATTTTCTCTTCCGTATCTACATTAAAATACTTGCTTCAAATATTAACTATGACACCTTCCAAGGCAGCTAATGATGCCCTGAAGCCACTCTGGCGGCCGTGCAACCGCTTCATCAAGCATTGCATGAAGTTGAGGAGGGCGATCCAGAGACTTGACATATCTGATGACATCGCCAGACGCTGTGGTGAGTTTTAGTTTCTCGCTTGGACTTTGAATTCCTGCAAGCTAACCATTCCACGCAGGCCAAAGATCTAAGGATTCATGCTGGGGATGCAACTCATTTTCCCCGCAGTACTCTCCTGTGCTGCCGTCATCCGGCAGTACTCCAAGGGCAGTGCCTTTCAG